AGGCGCGGACACGGTGACTATCTTATGAATTTTAATTATAATATTATACTTGTTGAACATCTATAGCCCTCTGATAATCTTATTTATAATGTATAATTCAGAATATATAGTAAAGTTTTAGGTAATTGTACACTGATCTGTATTTCATGACCTACCCATCCTGGTTGATGCCTTTGCGAACTCGGATGCATCCGAGTTTGGTAGGCAAGGGGAATAATCTAAATGCTACTTACTATGGTTCAGTAACATTTATTTATGTTTATACATCCGACGAAGACATTGGACATTAGAATTAGCCCTCGTCAGCTAGTGATACCCAACTCCAGTGTTGCAGCTCCGATTGCTGTCACACTCGAGTTTCGAATTCGCGTCTGTCGGTCAGAGGCAAACTTCCTAACCATTAGGCCGCGAGTTCGCTGTCTTGTCGGTTTTAGATCCGCAGTACATAGTAGTAGGTAATTATACACCGATCTGTTTTTAGGATATATAAGGGAGATAGGTATTGCCTTTGAAAATCTGTGATGAATCCAAATACACACAGCACGGTCAGGAAGTAAACGAAAAATCCCACGAAGACACCAGTACCTAACTCAGGTGTCAATGCTAGTGAAATTCAAACTCGCAGCCAAGTTGTTGATTCATCCGTTCCTTATGTAATAAGACTCCCTTAAAATGGAGTGCTGTTTGACTTACCATTTAGGGCAACCAGTTGAGACGCATGGCGTTGAGTTATTTCTGGAAGAGGTTCTTGGAGGCTGGAAGGCGGATCTAACGCCTGAACTGACCATTCACTGTCTTCCACTGATAACTTCTCTCCTACCAGAAAAATACACTCTTTTGAGCGTTTTCCACGAGGTCGATTCGTCTGCAGGGGAGAATTCTCTTCAGTTGCTTGTAGGCATTTCCTAAGAGAAGTAATTCCGATAGTAGTAATCTCTGCTAAAATGATGGGTTCGGATATTTTCCAACATACAAAACGCTCCACTGACGGTCTCAGATATGGACTAGAAAATTAAGTGCTAAAATGTCAGCCTGAGAGAACTCAAAATATCCTGAAATAGGATATTATTCTTGGCTCAC